GTGGCCATGGCCATGAGCAGGACTGCCAAGATTGAAAGGTGGGCTCCGTGCAGCGGGAAGGGCTCTGGGAATCACTCTGGGAGGAGGGGGAGGCAGTGCAGGGTTGGGCAGGGAAGAGATGTTTCCCTGGGCGTTGGAATAATTTGATCCTAAAATGCTCATTTTAAGAGATGCAGCTCGCTGTTTAATGGGTTGGGAAGGGGCCTTTGTGACTCCAGTTTCTGGTCTCTGAGGAAAAACTGCTCAAAAACTGAAAATTAGCTCTTTAATCTTTCATAATTAATCATACAATTAGTTCTTTAATCACTGCTGGCAGCACAAACATTTCAAAATTTTTCCTCCCAGTGTGTTCATTAGAGCTTGAAAAAAAGGTGGTGGGTGCCTTTGGTGCTTTGGTTGGGATTCTGGCCATTGAGTTGCTCATTGTGGCAGCACTGGAAGGTCCAAACTGGTCTGGACTTGCTTAAATTGTAGAAAAGCATAGAAAAATATGATTTATACTTTAAATGGGAAGGGTTTCTTTTTTAGAATTACTCTTTTATGCTCCTTGTCCTCTCAGCTCCCAAAGGTTTCTTGGCTCTTATTGTTCATTCTTCAGGTGACAATAACTGAGGGGAGGAGGACACAGGATTTAGTTTGGAAGTGCTTTATAGGAGTAGTTTCCCTTTTAATAGCTAATTCCTGAAAAAATAAAAATAAAATTACCCTGGAATTTTATTAGATACCGAATTTTTCCCTTTAATAACTAATTCCTAAATAGGTCAAGAAGTCCAAAAAGCCAAAATTATATTTTAAAAACTGCCTGCACACACAAAACCACCTGAGGCAGAAGTTGGGAAAGCATTTTATTCTGTTTGTGTGACATGGAATCAACCCAAACCAGCCATTCCATTGATTTTCTCAGTCCTGCTTTCTCCAAGAGACTGATGTTCCCAGTCTTGACTAATTTTACCAACAAAGCTTCAATTTTCAAGGATTCCTCAATGTTGAGGAGAAGAACAAAATCATTGAGGCCTCTCTGAATTAAATGTAATTTTACAGCTGCTTTTAACAGACAGGAGAGACTGAAATTCCAACAGAAACCAGCACAACTTCCATGAAATTTGATTGATCCTCTTAGGGTGATAAAGGTCCCTGGGCTGGGCTGGAGAAAATTGATTCCATGATGTGATTTTGCCATGTTTGAGCCAGATACAAACAGAAGAAGGAGCTGGAGAACAAACTGGCCTCCATGAGCAGCTCCGTGGAGAGCGGGACAGCGGATGAGGATCAGATCCGGGAATTTTACATCCTCCAGATCCAGAAATGGATCGGCACCAGCCTGGAGGAGATTGAGAGCATCGACCAGGAGCTGGTGATCCTGAAGAGCAGGGATGCAGCCAGGCAGGTGAGGGAGCTCTCCTGGCATCCAGGCCGGGAGGGGATGAATCCCAGAGGAATTCAGTGGCAGAGTTCTATTCAGTGACTTCCCAGTTGGAATTGAGCTCGATCGCAGCAGGAGCTGATGGGGTTTCCTTCATTCTGAATTTTGAGTTTTGGGCTGGGCTCTGCTGCCATGCTTTCCCCACAATCCCAGCCTGTGGAATGCTGCAGCTTGGAATGTCAGAGCTGAGCTAGGCTGTGCAAAGGCTTTTCTGCAGACCCCTAATTCTGAAGAACAGTTGGGTTTGGAAGTTAAAATAAGACCCTTGTGGTCTCTGTCAAGCCTCCACTCCTGGTCTGCAGCGTGTCCAGGTGTTATCAGCCCATTTGGAATGACAGGACATCCCCACAGACCTGCCATCCCTGTGCAGAACGTTGTGTCCAGGATTTCTGTGACCTGGGATGTCTGCTGGGAACAGCAGCTCCTGATGTGCTGGCACAGCCTCCTGGCAGGGCTGGTTTGGAGGGTCATTTTTTGGCACTGCAGGACTCAGCTCCTTTGAGGTGTCCTGGAGATGCCATGGAATGATGGGCAATAATAAACAACATTTCCTGCTCTGCTCTGAGCTCAGCCCTGGCAGCTCTGCTTTGACCCCAGCAAGTGGCTCAGAGGCACAGGAAGTGATTCCTGTGCAGGCACAGTTGAAATTCCTGATTTAAACCAAATTCAGGCCTGGATTCTCCATCCTGGGGTGTTGCTCTGACAGCTGAGGTATTTCTCCTCTGCAAAACCTCTAGTAACTTCAGGATGGGAAGCAGAGGGGGAATTCTGATCCCCTCAATTCCCTGGTGACTGTTGTTTGCATCCCCAGGCTCCAGCAGGTCCCCGTGGCCCTTCCCGGCCAGCCAGAGCTGTGGTGAAACCCTTCATCCTCACCCGGGATGCTGCTCAGGCCAGGTATGGATTGGGACGATCCAGCCACACTTTGGGGCTGTGCTGTCACATCAAGCCTAAAATACTCTGTCAAGTGCAGGAATCCAGGTGTACCTTCATGTCTGCACTTGAGTTTGTGGCACCCTGAAATCTGTGCAGGAATTTTGGCACCTAAAGCACAGAATGGGAAAGAAACCAGATTTCCTGTCATGCTTGGGACATGATTTATGCTGAGCTTTCCATGTATCTGCTTCAGTTCCCACGGGTGTCCTGGGGCCACATTCCCCTATCCCAGGTTGCTCCAAGTCCTGTCCAGACTGGCCTTGGGCACTTGCAGGGATCCAGGGGCAGCCACAGCTGCTCTGGGCACCCTCTGCCAGGGCCTCCCCACCCTCACAGGGCAGAATTCCTTCCCAGTATCTCATCCATCCCTGTCCTCTGGCAGTGGGAAGCCATTCCCTGTGTCCTGTCCATTCCCTGTGTCCTGTCATCTTTCCCTCAGGCATGGGAAGGCCACAATTGGGTCACCCCTCAAGCTTGCCTTGTGACATCCTTATATCCTTAGCACAGATTGGATCATGGAATGGCCCTGTGCCTCTTGCCTGTGTTCCTGCTCATTCCAGGGGGTTTCACTGCCTGCTTTTGGCTGGTTTTTTCCCACTGCAGGGTGTTTGGAGCTGGCTATCCCGGGCTGCCCACCATGACTGTGGATGACTGGTACGAGCAACGCCGCAGGCAGGGAATTGTGTCCACCCCACAGAGGGTTCCAGGTATGGAACACAGATGGGAACAGGGGATTTGAGAAGTCTCTTGAGGGGATGGGCAAACAAGGATGTGTGCAGAAACCTCTGACTATGGAAGAATCCAAGCTTTACTAGGAAAACAACTGGGTTAGACTATGTTTGGCCTGTCCAAGGCCAGGTTGGCCAGGGCTTGGAACAACCTGGGATAGTGGAAGGTGTTCCTGGTGGCACTGGATGGGCTTTTAAGATCCCTTCCAACCCAGCCCTTCCAAGGTTCTCACTCCTGCTGTCTGGCAAGGCCAGCTCCCAGCAGGGCTTTGGAGAACCTGGAGCTCCTCCCTGTCCCTCCCCTCCAGCAGGTGCAAGTGATGAGGAGATGCAGAAGCAGCAGCAGGAGGCAGAGGAGGAGGAGGATGATGAGGAAGCTCTTCGGAAGGCTCGGGACTGGGACGACTGGAAGGACACACACCCCCGGGGCTACGGCAACAGGCACAACATGGGCTGATGCTGTGGCTGCCTGCAGGGCCTGGAGATCCTGGGAGAACAAGCTGGAGAGGGAGAAGGGAATAGAGTGTACATAGGTGGAGCATGCAGGAATTCCCTGGGTGGACAGGGCACAGGATGGCAGGGGGACACGAGACCCCTTGCTTTGGTGCGCATTCCAGGTCAGACTGGGGGCACTGGTTGTGTTGGGGGGTGCCCCAGAGCTCGGAGGGGCAGCTCCATGAGGGTCAGGCTCCCTCTGCCCTCCCAGGTGGAGGCAGCCTCTAAGGGGAGCTCCATGGGTTTGGAAACTGCTCTTTTTATTGTGGGTGGATATATTTATTTTTTTTTTCCTCTCTATTTTAAGCAAAATAAACTCTCTTTGTGCTGTCTGGCTCTGGCCGTGAAATTCTCTTGCTCTTCATCCCGAGCTTTTCCAGGGGTGAGCCCCAGATGCTGTCACGGAGCCCACAAGGGACAGAACTGGAACAAATGGTGCCATATTCCAAGACAAAGTAGTCAGTGTGCTTTAAAACCCACTAGTACAATCCCTGAAAGGGGCAAGACTGAATCCCTCTGGCACCATTCCTGAATGAGGGGGAAGAGGACTGAGCTGGCACAGAGCAGGTGTGTGCAGCAGGGTGAGGAATCACAGCTGGAAGCTCTGGAAGTGCCCAGTGTGGGCTGGTAGCTGTGGATGGACTTGTTCCAAGCCTGGTGAAATACTGGGATGGAAAAGCAAAGCATGGCTGGCACTTTGTGTCACCTCCATGGTGCTTCCTTACCCTGGGACAGTGGGATTCTGTAGAAGTTTGGTGGTTTTCCTTCCTGTTAGCAGGATCTGGGCACAGCTGGAGTTGAGATGTTTTCCATGCAGCAATCCCTGTCCTCAGAACTGATCCACACCCGGGAAGCCTGGAGGGACTGTGGTCCTTTCTCCCAGGTATTGAGTCTCTACAATTCACAGGAGGGGTTTGTGAATTCCAAATCTCCCAGAAAACATTTCTTACTTTCCCACCGTGATCCTGTGGGTTTGTTTATCCCTCTCCTGCACTGATGTTAGCCAGCACTTCTAAGAGCACCTCTGGACAGCTGGATCCTGAGGAGTAGTTTCAGGGATTTATTCCCTGTGGATTCTCTCTGTTCCTTGGGCTGTTGGCCTGAACACCTCAGTGCTCACTCCCTGCTGTTCCTATTTCCTTTTCTTGTCACTTTTCCCCTCAAACCTCTCCTGACAGCACTCCAGGCTCCCTGGGCAGGAGGCAGAGTGCCCATCCCGAGGCTGGGAACAGCAGGAATGGTCTGGTGGCTGTGGAACTTCAGGATGATATTTTTGGGTGGCTCTGGGGCTGTCACATGGCAGTGTTTGTGACATTCCCCCAGCATGGATGGTACCATTCCCAGGGGGATACGGGATTCTCAGAAGAATTCAATCCCTGCCAGCACTGCCAGCTGGGACTTTTCAAGGAGCAGCAACATCCCAGCACAGCCACAGTGCCTCACCCTCTGCATGACCCTTCCAGAAATCACCAGTTCCTCTCCATGCTCCTAATCCCAGCTGGAGCAGGTCCCCTCCCCTCAGCAGGGCCGGAGTCCCTCTGGTCACCTGGTAAAAGCCTCTGGACACACAACCCGGCGCCCTCTGATTGCCAAATTCACCTTTCCACCCACGGCACCACAGAGCTCCTACCAGCATGAAAACCATCATAGCAGCCTGCTCCCAGAATCTCAGTGGTAAGAAATTCCCAGAATCTCAGTGGTAAGAAATTCCCAGAACGGATTGGGATCGTTTCTGCTTCTCCAGCAATGTGAGGAGTTTGGTGGTTATCACTGTTGTCTGCTTGCTTGGGAGTGCTGAGGAGAAACGGGGTGTTTGAGAGCAATTTGAGGATAACTCCACAGGAAAATGCACAGTTACTCCACAGGGATGAAATTTTGGCTGGCTTTGGGGAATTTACACACAAGATTCTCCTGCAAATTCCAAATGGTGGGTTTGCAGAGGCTCCTCTCGCTGTGGATGGGGCTGACAGCAGAGCCCTGCAGGGTTCTCTGTGTCTGTGGTGTGAGGTTTTTGGAAGAGGAGCTAGGAAAAGGATGTTAAAAAGCAATTTTGGTGGGCACAAGTTTGCTGGGAAGAGCTCTGTGGCTTCCCTGGGAAAAAGAAGGGACTGGGTTTTGCAGGTGGCTGAGATTTTGGGGATGTGTGGCGGGTGGAAGGGATCACCCAGAGCCCAGCGTGCTGCACAGGAGAAAAGGATGAAAATTTCCCACTGGAAAATTCCCCCATGGGCCAGAGATGACTCCAGTGTTTAATTTTACTCGTCCCATTCCTGGTTTGGATTGAGCTGGGAAGAACTGAACCTCCGCCAGCTTCCTGAACCAGGGGTTGGTGGTTCTCTGATACGGGGGTCCCTGGCTTGAGAAGCCACAGGGACAAGGCTGCTCCTGTGTCCCCCTGATCGTCTTTCTGGCCAATGTGCAGATTTGGGGTTGTTTTCCCAAAAAAACAAGGTTTGTGTGATGCTGGGGTGGCTCTCTGGGGTGGTCTCGGTGTGGGGACCTTTGGCCAGGAGCACTGTGCTGGCAGGGCTGGCGCCTCAGGCCTGTTTTAGGGAGCAGGGATGGGGCCAGGCTTGGAGTTTGGATCCTGGCTCCCAGCCCAGGGAGGTTAATGGTTCACCAAGATTGGCTGGAGGGAAGGGGTGGCAGGGGGAGTGGAGTGGCTGCGCTGACAGCAGCTTGTCCCTGTGGGGACAGACGGGGACAGCCACCTCCAGCTACCCTGTCTTGGCCTTGCTACTGGCCTTGGCACTTGCTGGGGGTGGTGCCTCCCTGCTGTGCCAGCTGAGAAATCCCCAAATCCCCTGTGAGCCTGAGCACACCAAAGAGGGCACTGGAATGGTCCTGTCCCTTGGGAACTGTGCATGGAGCAGGATGTGCCGCTGCTCTCAGCCCCGCTGGTGCACGGAGCTTTTGGGCTGGGGGTGCCCAGGTGCTCCCTGCTCTGGAGACAGCACTGATTGCCCAGGGCCACCTCCTGGAGAGCTTCCTGGGGATGAGCCTCCTCCATTCCACCCCCCACATCCCATCCCTCCTCCACCAGCTGCTCCTCCTTCCCATCCCACCTCCTGCCAGCACCCCTGGGTGTCCCCCAGCAGTCCGGTGGCCCCAGCCGCGTTCGAGCCGTGCTGTTTTGGGCGGGGGTCGTGTCCCGCTCTCCACAGGCAGCCGGGCCAGCATCCAGACTGCCCTGAGGACGCTGCTGGCCGTGCCCTGGCCCTCGCAGCGCGACATCGGCTCCGCGCTCCAGCTGCTGGCCGTGCTGCAGTGGGTGCTCAGCTTCCTGCTGCTGGGTGAGTGAGTAGGGGGCTGTGGGGTGGTCCCGGGGGGCCACACAGCCGCTCACCCCCTGCCTGGCTCCCGCAGGAACCGTCAGCCTCCTGCTCCTCATCTACCTGCTGTTCACCAGCCTCTGGCTCATCCCCGTGCTCTACCTGGCCTGGATAATCTTCGACTGGGACACGCCGGAGAAAGGTGTGGTGGCCTTGTCCCTGCTTCCTCCAGCTTTGCAACAGGATGGGAGTCAGGTCCCTTTTTCTCCAGGTGCCTCCCAGAATTTGGGGAGCACCACATCCCCGCTGCTCCTCCCCTCCACTCCTCCATCATTAGCACCACAGTGGGAGGAGGGATACAGCGGGTCCACGGGGAGCGTTTCCCTTGGATCCGGCTGCCCACTGGGCTGGGCTGGGCTGGGCTGGGCTGGGCTGGGCTGGGCTGGAATGGGATGGGATGGGATGGGATGGGATGGGATGGGATGGGATGGGATGGGATGGGATGGGATGGGCATCATCTCCTGGGGTCCCTCCCGGCCTTGCAGGTGGCAGGAGGCTGTCGTGCCTGCGGCGATGGACCGTGTGGAAGCACTTTCGGGATTATTTCCCGGTGAAGGTAAGGTGCTGGGACAGGGTGGGACCACCCAAAACAGGGTGCCACCTTCACGTTCCCGTGACTTCCTTTGTCCCACAGCTGGTGAAGACCCACGACCTGTCCCCCAGCCACAACTACATCATCGGCTCGCACCCCCACGGCATCCTGTGCGTCGGCGCCTTCTGCAACTTCATCACGGGCTCCACGGGCTTCGAGGAGCTGTTCCCGGGCATCCGCTCCTTCCTCACCACGCTGGCCGGAAATTTCCGCCTGCCCGTGTTTCGGGAGTACCTGATGAGTGGGGGTGAGCCTGCCCTGCCCATCTCTGGGGGAAACACGGCAGGGATGCTGCTCCCGGGAAGCGGCAGGGCAGGGATGCTCTCTGCTCGCGTTGTGCCTGAGCGACAGCTTCGCCTCGCACCCTGCCTGAGCTGCACCTTCACCTCGCTCGCACCCTGCCCGCACCCTGTCCGGACCGCTCCTTGTCTACACCCTGCCTGCACCCTCCGCCCTCTCCGCTCCCTGCCCGCACCTTTCCCACCCCCGCCCGCAGCAGAGGGAGCCCTTGCACTGTCCTCGCCCCGGTCCCGTCGCTCGGGGGACCCCGGCTGGTCCTGCCGGGCGGCCGTGCCGCAGCCCCGGTGCTCCGTCCCGCCGCAGGGCTGTTCCCGGTGACCCGCCGCGCCATCGGGTACCTGCTGTCCCAGAAGGGCACCGGCAATGCGGTGGCCATCGTCATCGGCGGCGCGGCCGAGTCGCTGTCCTGCCGGCCCGGAGTCACCACGCTCATCCTCAAGAACCGCAAGGGCTTCGTCCGCATGGCCCTGCGGCACGGGTGGGTCACGGCTGGGTCACCAGCACTGCCACCCACCCCCGCGGCTCCCGGCGGTGCCCAGCACCCCGTCACCACCCACCGTGTCCCCTCCTCAGGGCTTTCCTCGTCCCCTCCTTCTCCTTCGGGGAGAACGACCTCTTCCGCCAGGTGGTTTTTGAGGAGGGCAGCTGGATGAGGAGCATCCAGCGGCGCTTCCAGAAGATGATGGGCTTCGCTCCCTGCCTCTTCTACGGCCGCGGCCTCACCTCCTGCCGGTCCCGCGGCTTCCTGCCCTACGCCAGACCCATCACCACCGTGGGTGAGCAGCGGGGCTGGGGGGACACTCCGCAGTGGGTGCTGCTGGCAGGCACCTCCTGGTTGTGTCCCCCACCAGCCTGACCCCGTCCCCTGCCGGCAGTGGGGGAGCCGGTGGCGGTGCCCAAGGTGGAGAACCCGAGCTGGGAACTGGTGGACCGGTACCACGAGCTCTACATCAATGCCCTGCTCAAGCTCTTCAACGAGAACAAGACCAAGTATGGGCTGTCCGAGTCAGACGAGCTGCTCATCCTCTGAGCGTCACAGCACCGGCCCTGTCCTGGCTCCTGAGGGCTCTTGCAGGGGGGATTTCAGCCAGCCTGGCATGGGGGACATGGGGGACAGTCCCCATTCTGGCCTTCTGGTCCTCCAACCTGAGGGGGAGGTGGGAGGAGAGGGGGAAGCGAGGGGAGGATTGGGAAAGGCTCCCCCTGGCACGGGGTTTGGAGGGGCTGTGGGTGACACAGCTGTTCCCTGCGAGGGGCTGGTGTGGGGCTGGGGCCAGCAATGGGCACGGTCCCCCGGGCTAACCAGGTCATCACAAGCTGAGGGAGGGGTGTCATGGGAGGGGGGATTGGCATGGGGTTTTTGGGGTGGCATCCTGATGACCAGTGGGACCAGCCTGGGGCACAGCCCACCCTGGGGTGGAAGGGGGACACTCCTGGGCTTGGGGACCAGAGGATGTGGCCTGAGCCAGGACAATGTGGCCCCAGATGAGCTTTTCCTGCCATATCCATACCCAATACAGATTTTGAACCTCCCAATGCCTGTCTGTATCTGTTCCAGAGGTTGGGATTGGCAGCACAGTGGCAGTACCCCTGCACTGCCCACCTGGGTGCCCTTGCCACCCAGTGTGTCCCCTCCCTGGCAGTCCCACCTCCAGCTGGGGCAGTGTTTGGCAGGGCCCTTGCACCACTCAGGTGCAGCCAAGCAGCTCCAGGTGCACCTGAGCCACGTTGGATATAATGGGAGGTGAGGGGCAGCTCTTACTGGTTTAACTGGGCTCAGGAGGGATGTCTCCTGCTCTCTCTGCTCTCGGCTCAGTGGTGAGTGAGGGTCTCTGTGTGGGGCTGGGATGGGCCATCTCCTTCACCTGGGCAGCTCTTGTGGGGCATGGCTGTGTGTGACTGGTGTGGTGGCTGGGTGCGACACCCCAGTGGCACTCTGGGTGCCCCTTTCTTAGGCACGTGCTGGAAGGACTTGCAAGGATGATGGGGACAGGGATTCGCAGGGACTCTTGGGGCTCTTGGAGTGGGGACAGCCCTGTCCCTGTCCTGTTCCTGCCAGGCTGGCATGGGAGAGTCAACAGCACTGATCCCAATCTCAGCATGCTGCTCTGCGCAGGCACTTGGTCAAACAAAAGGGCTGGGTAAACATTTGAGGAGCAAACACCCATAAAGGGAAATTCCCAAGAACCTTCTAGTCACCACCTCCCTGTCACCAGCTTCCTGTCACCAGCTCATCCCTCCAGACCTGCCCCAGTGGATTTTCTATGAGGATGATTGTCTTGTCCCACTTCCTTATGCTGCAGGGAGGAACAGACCTGAGTGTAGAGAGGGGAAGGGGCTTTATTTGGGGTCACGGGCAGCAAGTGCCCCAGGCCATGTTGCTCCCCCTCTGCCAAGGCCAGCAGTGTGACAGGGACATCTCTGAGAACCTGCCCAGGGTGGGCTCTGCCCCCAGCTTCAGTCTGGTCCCTGCATGTCACCACTGAGTCATCTGGAAGAGTTGTGCCTGCCCATGGAGGCACCAGAGTCCTTTCTCTTTAGTGACTTGTCAGCCCCATGTGTCCCCAGGAGTGCCAGGGGTGGAACACCAGCCTGCTGCCCCAAAAGAGCCTCCTCAGTGTCCTTCCCATTCCCGTGAGTGCCCGGCGGCTCTCCGGCCCTGACCAGCACCAGCACCCTCAGCCCTGCAGAGCTGGGCAGGGACAGCTCAGGCCTGGGAATTGGGAGTGCCCACATGGAGCCCTGAGGGGCTGCAGCTCCTGGAGCCCAGGGCTGAGGCTACGGAACCCCCTCAGCACCCGCCTCCACCGCGTGCGGTGCCGGTCCCTCGGGTGACATGGGAGATGTGGCTGCCGTCCGTGACGTTGTCCGTGAAGGGTGACACCAGGACCAGGTCCAGCGTGGGCACGGGCCGGAGGCGCTGGGCGGCCCCGCGGCGCAGCCGGCCCCGGTACTTGTCCCCAGCCATGAAGTACAGGATGGGATCCAGGCAGCTGTTGATGCTGGCCAGCGGCCGCGTGATCTTGTAGCTGAAGTTGATGATGTTGAGGGTCCGGCAGTCGGCCTGGAAGTAGCGGGAGGTGTAGTAGAGGGTGCGGGTGATGTGGAAGGGCACGAAGCAGATGGCGAAGACGGCAAGCACCACGATGATCATCCTGATGGAGCGCCTCTTGTAGGAGGGCATGCGGAGGCCGGGGCTGGAGAAGCTGGACTTGCAGAGCCGCTTGGCCATCAGGCAGTAGCACAGGACGATGACCAGGAAGGGCACCCCGAAGAGCAGGGCCATGACGGAGGAGCTGTAGTGCACGTAGTGGTCGAAATCCTCGGGCTTGGTGGTGTCGTGGCACAGGGTGGTGTTGCCCTTGGAGCTGGTGGTGACGAAGATGAGGTTGGGGATGAGGCAGATGATGACCACGAGCCAGGAGGCCACGCAGATGATGCGGGCGTGCTTGGTCTTCACCCACTTGAGGGAGCGGATGGGGTGGCAGATGCCCATGTAGCGGTGCACGCTGATGCAGGTGAGGAAGAGGATGCTGCTGTAGAGGTTGGCGTAGAAGAGGAACCGCACGATCTTGCACAGCCCCATCCCGAAAGGCCAATTGTTGCGGTCGGCGTAATAATAGACCAGGGTGGGCAGGGACAGGACGTAGAGCATGTCTGAGAGGGCCAGGTTGACCATGTAGGTGGTGGTGGCATTCCAGGGCCTCATCCTGCAGATGAACATCCACAGGGCCCAGGAGTTGAGGGGCAGCCCCACCACGAAGACGATGCCATAGGAGATGGGCAGCAGGATGAACTTGAACTCCTCGTTGAAGACACACTTAGCCTCGGGTGCTGCTGTGGTGTTCCCTCCTGGCCAGGGAGCCGGCGTCGGTGTCCACAGGGAAACTGGGAATATCCTCACTGGAGTGGCCATGTTGTGCCCGCCAGACCTAGGGAGCAGTTCATAAAAGCACACTAGTCATTGATCCTGACCATTGTCGGGCACAAAGCGTGGAAGGGAGCCAAAGCTGCCAGATTTTCTCCCCCTCCAGGAGCTCCGGCCACTTTGATGGTTCTCTGGTTTTTCTCAACTCGTGCGGGGGAGGGAGCGGGCTCGGCAAAGCCTCCCCTCCGCAGCCCCTGCACTGACACCCATTAATCACACATTAATTACCCCTTTGAGCCGGCGCAGAGCTGGGAGCGGGCCGGGGACAGAGCCTCACGCCGGGGACAGAGCCCCACGGCCACCAAACAAAGAGACCCTGATGAGCACCAGCAGCCCCCGGCTGGGGCCGGCGCAGCCTCTTGGAAGCTGCCTCCACCTAGCTGGCAGCATCCTGACCATGCCGCTGCTCCCGGAGGGCTCCTTGGGAGAAGAAAGACGGGAGGAGAAGAAAGGCTTGTCTAGGGGAATGTTGTGGCCCAGAGAAATCCTGGGGGGGCTGTTAAAGGAGCCTTTGGGAGAGAGCGTCCCTGGACAGCGAGGAGCCGCTGGCTGCTGGGTGTTGTCCAGAGGGAAGGGCTGAGCTGAGCCCTGTGGAAAGGAGCTGCTGGAGCCAAGTCCCAGCTCAAGGCAAAGCAAGTTTGCAAGACAGGCAGGACCTTCCTGTGCTGTGCTGGGATCAAGGGCTGGGATCTGTGAACTCCTGGGAAGTCGGCATGAGGACGAGGTGTCAAAGTTCAGAACTCTCTTCTCGAGGGAAAAGGAAGGGTCTGCCACCACCGTGGTGTCCAGCAAAGGATCGGTGAGGGCTGCCTGGGACTTGACCCCTCCACACTCTCCACCATCCCTGGTGAAACAACTCCTCCAACAGAGGATGGATGCTTGGATGAGTAACCTGGGAGCAGGAGCTGCTGTGCTGCTGGTGGAGATCAGGGTGTAGCCAAAACCATATTTGATAGATGGGATGCAGGGCATGCCCAATTCCTTTTGTCCAGAGCTCATCCAGGAGGTGATGGGCACCAGGCCAGGGAAGGACTCAGGGCTCAGGGATGCATGGTTAGCTGGAGCTGGTGCTACAAGGTGGAAGGACACATCTTCTCAGACTCCTTCATCCCTTGGCTCCCTCATCATCCCCCTCCTGTTTCCCTTTGTCCTGAGGATGAGCAGGCTTCTCCCAGCGGGAATATCTTCAGGGTGTCTCTGTGGGATCATCCCTGCCCCGCCCTGCCTGGAGAGATACCTGGGGCTGACAGAGATGCTCATAAATGAGTCAGCAGGCAGATGGGGCAGCAGGGCCCCTCCAGCTGTGCTCCAGGGGCTCTGTTTGAGTTGCGGGCTGAGCTCCAGGCCCACATCCAACACCCTGCAGCTCCTGGCCCGCCACGGCTCCCGCCTTTATTGCAGGGATGAGTTCAGAGAGCAACAGGCAGGTCCTGATCAAACATTAACAGTGCACAGAACTTGGTTTGTTTTCCCAGAACCAGGAGGGAAAACAGGTGGTAGGAAAACCTGAGCTTGCAAGCGAGGTGTCAGTGGTGGTCCTGGCCTGACAGCCACATGTCCCCAAGCCGCTGAGGACATGAGGGACCAGGAGTTTCCTCTTCCAATCTCTGAGTGCAAGGGAACACAAAGCCTTGAGTGTGACCAGAGCAGAGCTGCTGCGGGTTGAGTGTCTGTGGCACAGGTCACCAACCAAGATATGGAGAAGACAGTAGGTAAAAGTTAATAATCAAGTGTGAGAAATGCATGAGGAAAAATCCTGAGCAGCTGTGGACTGCTGGACTGCTCAGAGGAGAGCACAGGCACCCGGCTTCTGGCAGCTGATACAGCCTGAGCACGGTCAGCAGTGGGATTTAACCATTCCCTAGCACATTCCTTTGGGGATAACCACCAAAATATAGAAATGCAGAAGAAGATGACATCTGGCAAGTTTTATCTTAACAGGTTTCTTGCTTCCTTGTCTTAATCACTATCAAAATCAGTGATTGAAATTAATGAATCACATTAGTCTAGCTTGAGGACACATCATCACCAGCCCCATTCCTATTTCTTGCTGACATTCCTAGCAAAACTATCCTTGGCTGTGGGCTTTGGAGGAGAGATCGAGGTGTGAGCCAAGAGTTGGGACTGATTGTTGGAACAGGGGATGAAAGGCACTGCAGGGAAAGGATGTTGAGCCAGGAGATGGAAGGTGCTGTAGAGAGAGGATTTGGAGCAGGGAGATGGAAGGTGCTGCAGGAAGAGGTGATGCTCTTGTTCTGCCCGTTTTGTGGATGTACAATGAACGCTGCAGAACCCCTTGCCCATGGCAGGCAGATCCCCCAGGGATGGTGTCTTTGGAGTGGCCCATGGTTTTCCCCAGGAAACAGCAAGGGGTCCTGGAAAATGCAGCGGTAGCCATGGGCCAGTGGGAAGGGGCAGGGCCAGCCATGTGGCACACACTGAAGGCACACGATGCCCTTGGCCACAGGATTGGCAGCTTTTCCCTGGCTCCTGGTCCTGCAGGTGTTCCCAGCCAGAACTGTCCTTTGGCACCGCTGGTAGCACCAGTCCTGGTGGGATCTGAGGGTTCCCCAGCCCTGGGGATTCAGGGAACTCTTGGAAAGACTCCAGTAAAATAAAGGAGTGGGACAACACCAGAGCAGAATCTGCCCTGGAGCCAGAGTCCTGCTGGTGGGTCAGGATGGGAATCGTGGTGCTGGGGACCATGGAGCAGCAGGCAGGAGCTCAGAGAGGGGAGGTGAGAGAGGATTTTGGAGCAGCTGCAAGGGATGGTTGAGCCTGGGATCGGCTGCTGCTGGAGCATGGGAAAAGCAGGGCTTTTCTCCTTGCCTAAGCCCTTAGAAACTGCAAAACAAGGAGAAATTATGCCAAACATCCTGCAGAAGGACCCTTGTCCCTAATCGCCACGTGCTTGGTGCAGCCAAAGCCCCGGCACAAGGGGATGTGACCTAATTCCAATCCTTCCCTTCACCTGGAAGAGCAGCCAAGGCACGCTCTGCCGGGACACCTCCCCGGGGACACCCATAGGGTCCGGTGTTTCCCTTGCTGTCCACCCCATCCCCTGCCCCGAGGTGACCCTGGGCAGGGTGGGGGTGAGGGTTCCCTTCCACCCTTGCTGGGCTGTCCCTGTCCCCCACCTCGCTGGGAACAGGCAGGAGCCCACGGTGTCGGGCTGAGCCAAGGCAGCACCAGGGCAGCTTCAACCCATGGCAAGTCAGAGATTTGGGGGATGGAGAGGAGGGGGACACACAGGGAAGGATGAAGGCCCTCAGTGACAGAGGAAAGAGGTGGCGTGTTAGAGAGGAGGAGGTACAGAGGGATTTGGGGGTGGTGGAGGGCCGGTGAGAACTGGCTGGCCCCCACCCTGCACCCACCCAGCCCTGCACCCACCCAGCCCTTCTGTCCACACCCCCGGAGCCCAGCTGGGATTGCGTGACCACGGCAGGGCTGTCCCTCCCGGCTGTCACCAAACAGGCGCTGCCCCGGCTCACCTGCAGACCTGGGCGGCTCTCAGGAGTGGGGTCCCCACGGGGAGAGCCGGTTCCCCACGCGGGACGGGGCCATGCCGGGGTGCTGCGGGCAGCCCTGGCTGTGCCCTGCCGTGCCGAGTGTGCCCACTCCCGCTTCCCGCGGCCGGGAGCAAAGTGCCCAGGGAAGGCAGGGCTGGAGGCGGGCAGAGGCGGAGGCAGGAGCTGCCGCAGGGCTCAGCCCCACTGCGCTCCCATCCTCCTGGTGCCCTCGCTGGCTTTGGGCCACCTGCAGCCCCCGGACATGGGGCATGGTGGCCTCTTCCATGCGGCCACAGCCCTTATCTCAGGAGCACCACAGCCCCTCAACCACGAGGGCACAGCCCCTCATCCATGGGCACCGCGTCCCCCCGGCCATGGCGACCGCATCCCTCCACCCATGGGCACCGCGGTCACTCAGCCACAAGGTCCAGTCCCTGACCCTTGGGCTGTGTCCCTCTGCCCAAGGCTACCACGGCCCCTCTCTCATGGACCGCAGTCCCTCAGCCACGAGGGTCGCAGCCCCCATCCCCGGGGCCCGTGGCCCCTCGCCCGCCCAGGACAGCCCTCCTGCCCCGCTGGCTCGGGGGTCCCGCAGCTGCTCCGCTGGCCCCCAGCCCTGCGGGGCGAGCCCGGGGACAAAGGTGGCCACTGCCACCGTGAGGCCAGCCCGGGCATCGTGCTCCCAAACCCGGGGCCACCTCGCGAGTGGCACAGCCAGGACACGGCCGGCGTGTCCCCGTGTTTCTGAGGGGGTGCCCCTCTCCCTGTGCCGGGCAGAGCAGAGCAGGGGGTTAAAGGCTGTGGCACCCATCAGCTTTGCGACGGGCAGGGGCAGCCCCGAGGGCTGGGGTGCGCGGGGTTCCCGTGGGACGGGGAGACGTGGGAAGCAACGCCTTCGGTGTTTTCTTGCCTCGGTGTTTTCTCCACCTGGCTCGGCGCTTTTTCTCCTCGCCCTTCCGCAGAACCAGGTGTGCAAACGCGTACCCAATCCCCGACGCTTTATTCTGGATAGCGAGAGCAAAGGGAAGCAGCGCAGCGGCCCCGGGAGCTGTGCTGGAGGGGAAAATCCTCCGGGAGCACCGGCTGGGCAGGAGGGAGCAGCTGCCGAGGGCACGAGGGTGCACAGGGCCGGGCACGGCTGTCTCTACATCCTGGCAGGCTGCAGGTCGGCGGGCGGAGGAGGCTGAGCCTCCAGCTCCGGAGCACCGAGCGCTCCCCGCTTGCCCGGCGGCCTCGGTGGCTCCCGGCAGCGCCGCGGTGGCGGCTCCAGGCCCGGGCGGCTCTGGCGCGGTGGGAGCTCCTGGCTGTCCCCCCTGCCCTGCGCTGACGCCTGGTCCAGCTGGCTCAGCTGAGCGACATTCAGCGAGCAGTCGCCCGGTCCCAGCGTGTCCCTCGTCAGGACGGCCGACTTGGGTCTCTTGTGGTGGCCCGCTCCGGGGGCGCTGAGTGGGTGCCCACGGCACGGGCTCAGTGGCACACAGCGGGGCCGGCCACACCGCGGCTCCTCCTCCGAGGGTAACGGGACCCGCGGTCCAGCGGGGCTCCGGCACTGCTGGCCCCCGGCCGGGCCCTCTGCCTGCTTCTTGGGGGCTTCTCCGGGGCCCGGGAGCCACGCGTTGGGCACTCCCTCGAAGATGAAGTAGGCGGGGTTGGTGTAGTCGGTGGTGGGCTCCGGGAGGCTGCGGGGGCGGCTCCTGCGAAGCGCAGACAGGGAAAGGGCTCAGCATCCCCCACTCCGGGGCTCCGGCACGGCCGAGCCCACCTGGGGTACCTGGGGCGCTGCGGGGGAGGCTCGGGGCACATCGGGGGCTCTGCCGCCGGCTCAGCATCCTTCTCCTCCTCCTCCTCCTCAAAGCTGATCCACTCTGCAAAGGCAGCGAGGTCTGGCCTCACTCCACGGCCAGAGGAGAAAGTGGCCCAGGATGTCCCCGAGCCCGGGGCACCGGGCGGGGGCCGGTGCGGCCGCCGTTACCGTAGAGCCTCTCGCGGGTGCCGCGCCGGCCCCGGGGGACCCGGACCCGCATCCAGCCGCGCACCGAGCCCGTCTCCTCGCCACGGTGGAACAGGAAGGTCTCGAACTGCTGGGCCGTGGTGCCGATCGCTGACCTCAGGGCGAGGCAGCATTCCCCTGAAGGCACAGCGTCAGCCCCCGGTGCTCGGGGGACACGGGAGCCACCCGTGAACAACAGCACCCGGAGCAGGGTCCCTCCTGCCAAGATCCCGCTACCAACCTCACACCCAGCAGGCTGTAACTTGGGATGGCACCCCCCTGCCACCACGGTGTCCCCAATTTCACCATCCCCACGTACCGTAGGACTCACAGCTCTCCACGCCCTTGAAGCTGAGGAGCAGGTGCTGGTCCCCCAGGTACTCCAGGTCGGGCAGGATGGGGTTCAGCTGTGAACAGAGGGGGGATCTTGGGGGGCTGCCACGGGGTGGGGGGCACAGGGAGACTCTGTCCTGAGAGCTGGTGACAGCTGCAGCTCCCCTTGGGGCTCAGGGTACAGAGGCAGAGGCAGGGATGGGGATGAGGATGCTCCGGGGCTGCGCACCACAGGCAGATGCTTGGAGGACCAGCCCAGCTTGAGGAACCCAGGGATGTCACAGTTCTGGAAGGTGTTCTCCCCACTCCGCTGCACCTCTGGGGGGGACAGAAGGGCACACATCTCCAGCCAGGCTAGATAACCCCCACAGCCACCCCCAGCACCCCAGACACCCCCTCACCCTCCAGGCAGTAGGAGTGGAACTCGATGTAGCACTTGCTGCGGCTCGTGGTTTTCAGGATCACCTCAATGCTCTCCCACTCGATGCAGGCCAGCGCCTCGGGGCTGGAGCCGGGAGCTGCAGGCAGGTCCTGGCAGGTCAGGGGGTGCCAGGGCTCACCCCAAGCCCGGCCCGAGGGGCGACAGACCCCAGCCCTTACCCTCCTTGGGCACAAACTGCGACGTCACTCCCACCTCAAAGGTGGCAAAGACAGGCGAGTGGTCACTGGTCACGATGTCATCAGTGCAGCCTGGGTGGCAGGAGGGGCAGCTTGGGGAGGGTCCCAGAGCCCTGGGGTCCTGGGCAGCACTGGCCACCCCTGGCTGCTGTGTCCCTGGGGTCTCACTCACCGTAGGAGTTACACACCACGTGGGTCTCTGGGTGTGACTTCCACAAGATGCGGTCGCACCACGAGGGGACGTTGATCCGCATCTAGAAAGAAATAGGGAAAGCAGCTGGTCCAGTGGCCTCTCAGGTCTGGGTCCCCCTGCCCAGAAGAGCATCCCAGCACCCCAAAAAGTGAGTTCCCTCCTGCCCAGACCCTGTTTTGGTAGGGAACAGGCTGATGGAACTGTGGGGACTGAGCATCACCACGCAGCCCCCTCAGCACCCTGCTGTCCCTGTCCCCAGAGATGTCCTGCTTGGAGGGAGGCCTCTGGAACTCACCCCCGTGGGCTTGGACTTCTGCCACACATAGGTGTCCCTGGTGCCCCGCTCGTACCGGTACGTGGGAGGGAAGGAGATGTCACCCTCACCTGGAATCAGGACACGCAGGTGGCACGGGGGCCATGGTCCCTGCCAGGCTCACACCATGGCTGGCACCCCTGGCCTGGTGCACGCCAAGGTCTCCCAGGCTCTCAGAACCTTCTGCAGGGCTGGGCCAGCAGAGGGGACCTTGAGAGCTGGGGGTGACACGGGGAGGGCTGTGGGGACCCTGGTGCTGCTGTCTCAGCAGGAGGAGCAGCACCCTCGTCCCCACACTCACTGAACCGCAGGAACACCTTGTTCTTCTCCCGCTCCAGGCTGAGCTGGTCAACAGCCAGGAGGGCCTGAAACTCCTTCTTGACGATGTGGCTGAGGATGTCCTGTGCCAGGGAAGGGACAGTGACCCCCAGGCTCCTGTCCCCACTCTGTCCCCAGCCTGGCACCTGCAGGGTCCCACCTGCACGTCCATGTCCAGGCGGTAGTTGAGGTCCCCGAACCAGAAGAGGTGGGTGAAGCGCAGGGTGAGGTCGAAGCCCCCCAGACGTTTGTCCCCCAGGGCCAGGGAGTGCAGGATGTCACCGTAGTTCTGGTTACGCCTGCAGGGGGACAGCAGCACCATATGGGCCACCCTGGGGACACCTTGCTCTAATTCTGTTCCTGCCAGCTGGGGACAGGGGCAGCCCCACAGCCCCTCAGGGCTCCTCCAGCCCCCTGAAACACCCACCTGCCCCGTGGCTGCCCCACCCTCCCCATCCCTGCATCACCTGTGGGTCTTCTCGCTGCCAGAGGCCAGGTGGCAATTGATGAAGCCAAAGGAGGTCCCGTTGAAAAGGAAGGAGACGCCCACAGCTCCCTTGTTCCCTGCGGGGATGTGCCACCGCTGAGCTCTGGGGGAGCCCAGAGGTCCTGTGCTGGCCCTCAGGCTGTCCCCCTGGCTAGGGGTCACCTCCCAGCCCCATCCCCTCCCTACCCAGCGTGTTGGCGATCCCGGTTTTCACGCTGGAGGTGTGGACGTGGCTGATGCGCCGCTGGTGCTCCGGCTTCACCAGCACCACGATTTTGATGCTCCACAGGCACTGCAGGGCCACCTGTGGTGGGGCACAGGGTCAGCCTGCCTGGCCCCATCGTGCCCCATGGCCAGGAGGACGGGCTGCACACACAGGTAGGTCAGCGTGACCCTGACTCCTGGGGACAGCACTCATGGGGTCCGTGGGGCACAGGAGGTTCCCTGGGCTGATTTGGGGTGGGGTAGGAGCTGTGGGGTGACGGCTGCTGGTGCCCAGCCCCCCAGGCCTGCCAGGGCTGGCTGTGCCCGCCGTTACCACTCGGTAGTCGATGGCCATGAGGCTCTTGAGGGAGGCGCAGAGGAACTCGACCCACTCGCGATCGCCCAGGGAGTTCTCCTGGGTGCCGATGACGTAGATGTCGTGGGGGATGCAGGCCGTGGTCTCGTCCTGCGTGCGCCCCAAGCCCCTCGAGGTCAGCCAGGAGGCCAGGGAGCGGGGTGGGGGCGTGCTGCCTGCGGGCAGGGACATGGGTCACACAACGGGGACGTGCCAGGATCCCGAGCTCCTCTCCAGCACAGCCCTGCCCGTCTCCAGGAGCTGCCGGGGTGGGAAGCAAAGTGCCAGCCCCGTGGATCAGGTCTGTGCATCCCAGACT